GCCTCGGCCTCCCAAAGTGCTGAGGTTACAGGCGTGAGCTGCCGCGCCCGGCCAGGCCTGAAATTTTGACACATCCTTCTCCCGGTACACCCAGGAAGCTGCCCAAATAGAGGAGTTCCTCTTTTTAAAGCAAGAAAACAAATGAGGCCGTTCCATACTAATGTGATCAGAAACCGCCCAGGCTTGGCCACAACCTCCCACACTGGCCTGGGGCCTCCTGCCCCGAAGCAGAGGTCCTCACAGCACAAAATGTGGACAGGGTGACAGGATGGAGGAGAAGCCACCAAAAGAGCAGGCGGGGCTGTGCACAGGCAGGGCATCCTGGGTGCAGGGGACAGGCACCCGGTGCTGCCCTGGTGGCACTTCACTGTGGCTTGGGGCCAGCGGGGAGCCCAACTGGTATTGGTGGAAGGCCCAGGCCTCCACTCCAACCGTGCCAGGGCACTGCCTGGGGCTGCAGGGCTGGAGAGCCACAGCTCCCTTTCCCAGGGGCCTGGAGTCCAGGGGCAGCTTCTAGTTCCCGAATATGGAAGGTGGGAATCCAGGCAAGGCAGCCACTTCTCCGCTGGCCACACAGGGTCCTGGCTCACGGGGTGTCCTGGCCGCAGGCCACCATGCGGAGGTATACACGTGGAGGCACTGGCTCCCGCACAGGCCCTAGCCCACCGCCTCCCTGATGAGCAGTGGGTATGGGGTCTCATTCCCAGAGTCTTCCCTCAGGACCCATCAGAAGGCACCACTTGCAGGTGACCCTCAAGGGCTGGATTCTGGAACTGTTCATCCAGTCTCAGAGGGTCCCATCAGCCACAAAGATGGGCAGCCACGATGAGCTTCCACAACCCTCCCCTGGGATGAGGTGGCCATGGGCAGTGAGGTGAGGCTTTGGGGACAGTGAGAGGCTTCATTATAAGGGCAGGAGGGAAAGCAAGGGCAGACGCCAGAAGCCACCTCTGGTGAACGGCAGCACTTGCAGAGAGCGTGACATACACCGGGGTTTTACCGTTTGGTGCAAGATGCAGCCAGGGATGGAGCACGTCTGCCAGTGACAGAAAAGGAAGGCAGGGACTGACGCTGGAGGAGGGTGCAGTACGTGTGGCTGGCGGAGGGGTCACCCAAGGAGGAGCGGGGCCCTAGGGCAGAGAGCAGCCTCTGAGGATGCCAGCAAGGAAACTGAGACGTCAGCCCTGCAACCTCAAGGTCCCGGATTCTGCCAGCACCCAACTAAGCCTGGACGAAGATTCCTCCCAGAGCCTCCTGGCTGGAGTCCAGCCCAGCCACACCTTGACTGTGGCCTGTGGGACCCTGAGCAGAGAGCCCAGCCGAGCCCACATGGGGAGAAAGACCGGAGCTAAAAATGGGTGCTGTTCTAAGTCACTAAGTGCAGGGTGATTTGCTTCCCAGCAATGGAAGCTGGTCCAGCCTGAGGCTCCCATGAAGCTGGCACTGAACAGGCCCACATGGGCGGGAGCTGAGGGCGGTCTCCACCAACAGACAGGAACAGAATGTGGCCAACTCCAGCCAGTTTAGAGGTAGGTCCTCCCCAAGTTGAGGAGGTCCTCCCCATCCTCTCACCGCATCATGTTTTATGCTGTGGGCACCTCTGCTTCGGGGACTTTGAGATGATTATGGCTCAGCCCAAACCTGCATTGTAGGCTGGGGGTGACCCAGGAGCAACATAAAGAGTGAAAACAGAAAGAGTGAGACAGTGAGTAGGGGCGACCATAGGACACTGACGGGCACAGGGCCTGAGCGGACACGGGGTGATGATGGGACACAGGTGACCGTGGCCAGACCCTGGATAGCACGGGACATGGTAGAGCATGGAAGCTGAGCTGCCCAGCCCACCCTGGGGACCATCCGACCCAGCGACCTGTCACCAGAAACTTCCAGGGAGCAGGGCATGGCCTCTCTCACTGCTGTCCTCCCCCACCTGAGTTCCTCTAGGTGACAGACTTGAATCTTCACCCTGGCCATGGAGAGGGATCTGAGGAAGGCCTCACAGCAGGGTCCAGTGTGCTCAGAAAACAGGCAGTGGCATGGGAGCAGGTGCCAGGGCCCCATCTGATCCCTGGATCACACTTCAGAGGTAACTTCTTGAAGTCAGCAGCTCCAGTGGCAGCCTGACAATTCCTCAGTTCAGCAGCATTACTGTGGGTGGAGTCCACCCCTGGTCCCACACTGAGCCCTGATCCTGATTACACACTGATCCCAATCCAACTCACAGGCTGAGCTCTGACATTTGTTACATGCTGAGCCCTGCTCCTGATCACACACTGAGCGCTGATCCTGGTCACAGGCTGAGCCCTGACACTTGTTTCATGCTGAGTCATGCTCCTGATCACACACTGAGCCCTGATCCTGGTC